AAAGTACATCCGTCTCTTCATTACTCCGACTCTTTTACCTGACTAATGGCTATAACAGGGCTTTAAAAATGTACATAGAAAGACACAAACCCCAAATCATCTATAGCTTTTTTTTGGTTTGAAGTTTCTCATTTATTTAAAATAGTTCATTCATTTTGTGTGTGACAGGGTTAGGTCTGAAGTTGGCTGTTGTCAATACCTGAAGTATTAAATTGAACAATTACTTTTCCCTTGTGTATTCTGCTGCTTCGCACATGACCCTTTGACTCAAAAAGCAGTGAAATTATGAAAACAAGGGTGAAATGTGACTTAAGGAAGGTGCAGTATATACACACGTAAGGCCACAGAGTACACCTGTACACATCACCCCCAGCTTTTACAGGGCAGCAGGAACGAGAAGAGGTTTTATATATATATAGAAAATATATTTTATATATACACACACCAGATACAGCAAACTAAAGCAAATGCAAAGCAGGGTAACTTGAAGAGTTGTGTCTTATCTTGCAATAATGAATAATGTTTTCAGGACAGAAGAACAGATTTTCCAAGCTGAGAGGTCACACAAAGATGCTTAAGAGAAGCCCAAGGAGTTTAGAAAAAAACACTCAGACTCGAAACCAAAGCCCACACTTCCACTGAATTCACCCATTTAAACGCTTACATGCCAAAACACATTAAAATACATTCAGGCAGCTACAGGACAAGAAAACAAGGTTTTGCTCTGGAGATAAGTTTTTAGAAGCAAATTGTATACAGGCGCCGGGTGTTTGCTGGACTTACCCACAAATATACATTCAAAGCTGACTTTTGAGAAGCCAAAGTTTTTCATGAAACACAAGGTACAGGGTCCCTTTTTAAATGTATGAAGTTCCAGATTATGACTGGCGATGAATTAAACAGAGCAAATTAAAACATGACATAGCAGAAGTTTTTCACAAAAACAAACCTTGGAAACATTTTATTTCTGCCCCTATTCACATAAAAGCTGTGTGTAAGAGTAAGAATTTTAAAGGGGAACTGCAGTCTCAATTTCTCAGACCGGTTTTTAAAATCTTTGTTAGCAAAACAAATTAATTTAAGTTATCGCAAAATTTTACAAATTAAGCGCAAAGTTGTGAATTTAGTGAAAGTAGTGCATCACTGGCATTGTTGTCACAAACCCCTGGTCTCGCCACGATGAGAGCAGAGCTCACGAGAATTGTGACATGAAGCGGCCCTTCCTGCTCACTAGTCACTGATGACTGATGTACTGTGATTGTACAGCAGAAATTTCACCGCAGAAACGTTCCAGTGTGATCTGCATGTAGAGTTAACAAGTACTTGTCTGCAAAACCGTCTAAGAATCGAGAGCAATATTTCTATTGGATCAAAAGAGATGTATTCACAAGCCTGCTTCTTTACACTGTAATAGAGCCCAACACGTCACCAGAAGTATTTTTGCCTCATTCTGAATCGCAGAATATGGTGCTGCGCATGCCTGTAAATTATTTTATGATGTAAATTGGAGGTTTTACACATCACTGTGTGCATTTTAGTTTCATTGTGGTGTGAAAAGATTCACCAATGCTGAGTCTTTCTAACCCCAAAATATAAAAATAACATTGCAGTTCCCCTTTAAGAAAACACCCTACCCACCCACAAAATTCCAAAACAGCCTGACATTTTTGGTCCCTTCTTACACTTAATTTTAGCCAAAGAGCACAATTTTAAGATTCACATAGAAATGAAGCCAAAGAAAAGAGGGAGAGGTAGTGGAATTCATGGGGACGAGGCCTCGTTTTCTGCAGTTGAATAAGCCATCAGTCCCATCCGGAACTAGAGACCAGGAAAATCACTCCTATCATCTCCTATGAAATTTACTGCTACCACGATAAACAAATATTGTTGAGATTTCAGAATTTGGTGTTTTGGTTAAAGTGACAAAGCAAAATAGTTTATTTTGTTTAAAAGAAGCAATCTGTAAGAAACCATCATTTGGGCAATATCTCAAGGAGACCTGAAGAAAAGAACGGCCTACTTAAAAGCAGCCGGCCACTTGTGTAATGAGACAAATTATCTGACTTGGTCAAATGGAACATCACCAGAATCGGTTAAACAAAATATTTTATTTCACCCAACCTGTAAGGAAACAGTTGTGATCTGAAAACTGCCAGCACATAAATTTCAGGTTAAAAAAAGCTAGACTGCACACTCTCTACCCCCCCAGAACAGATTTTTTTCCCCCAAACTCCTCCTGCAAAACAGTGGTAGTTCCCACAATTCAGAGTTGGGGACTACTCCGGGCTCTGGAGAGGCCCAGTCGATCTTCTTACAGGTTCTTACTAAATCTCCTGTTATCCAAAGACCAGGAACACCTGTTTCAGAACACCTTAGATTCAGCGCATAATGGTTCGGTCAAGGATTCACTGGTCCTTGAGATCTCTACTTAACCGAACATACCACCTGCTCAATTAATGTTGTGAAAATCCCAGGCCTCCTGGAAATGGATTTAAAAGCTGGAACCTAGAAGAACCTGCTGGGGCTCCTCAGGACCAGGGTTGAAGACCCATTGTTTAGAGTATATAAGTCATGCCCTTTAAGAATAATGCATATTTGCCCCACGTACAATATGTTTAAGACATCACGAAAAAGATTAATGAAATTCTGTAGTCCATCAGCCTGTAAAAGCACATCAGACATTCCACGCATATTTTTAATAGACTTAGTACTTGAATAACAGTTCTGTTTATTCAGCTCCTCCGTGACACCTGAGGGAAACTATGGAAATGGACCTGTATAGCACACATCCAAACATGCTGGACCTTGGGGCGATCCATTCAAAACCTCTACACGGACCTTTAACGAGACAAACTTCTAGAGCTACTACAGTACATACAGGTCTTCTCAGGACCACAATGAGGCAGGAATAGCCGTCGTGTCCTGAGTACATAACATCCCCCGGAAAAACTGGCAACAATAACTGAGCCTGAACACTATAAACACAATGTAACAGGAAAGTCAAAACTAGTTGACAACGAGCTGGGCTTTATTCCACAAGCTTTTAAGATGAATACGATCAGCTATTTTTTTTTTAAGAATGATTTTCCGTTGCTACTGAACATCTGACAGAAAAAAAGTTTTAACAGCAACAAGGTCTACAGTCTGTCAGGTTCCACTGGATGAATGCTGTTGTAACTGTTAATTGCAGTGTGCATGGCATGGCTGTGTAAAAAGATTCAGAGTTTAACGCGATGATGGACTGTAATCAACACATGATTCTAACCTTAGACAGGGAAACCTCATCATTCCCGAGCAGGATTCTAAGCCGTTTTGGTGTGATTTGTTTATTTCTGTGGATGCTGTTTTTGTCGATCAGACAAAAAGATGATGCTGTGAACTGAAAAGAGCCTTTCCTACAGCACCTTTAGCTTCTCATGATAAACCGATTATTTCCTGACAGGAAAAGAAGTCTGCTGGTAGTGCACACTTGGTTTGTTTGGGAGCAATGGGGGCAAAGTGTCCAAAGAGCTAGAAAACCACATCCCATACAAAACTCACAGAAACAACTGCATAACTTCCCAAAACATCCCTTAATGCGCTTTATTTATGACAATGAATATAACCCAAGGATTTTATTTTGCATTTAAGGCTGCTAATTCCAAGACTCCAATGATATACCACATATAAATATTTTATTCTTAGAAGCAGTGCACTTCTAAAAATAAGAGCATTAGAAATATATTTAAAAAAACATCACCATAAATGGACATCTTTTGTTATGCCAATCCCGACAAACCTCCTCTCTTATAGCCTTAGAGCCTGACATTTTGAACATGGCTGCTTTTCTCTACTACTGCCAATACCAAACTTGGTCAACATCATCACAAGCCTCCAGAACAAGTGAGGCATCAACACCTTTGCCAAAGGGGGTTTGATATCTCATTCCAGGAAACCATATGAAAAATGTTGTACAACTATATGGCTTAATGATGTCAAACAAGAAACATGGAAGGGGTGAAGGGAGAAAAATCAGAATGCTATAGTATTCCCGATTTCTTGGAAAAAGCAGGTGATGCAGCCCTTGATGAACTAGATGAAGAACAAGAGGCACAACATACAGAAAACATACTCCGCAAACTACATTTAAAAAAATTAACAGCACCTGAAGGTCCCTTAGTGAATCCTTCAGATTTTAAAACCCCTGCAACCTCTTAGTTTATCAGAAATAGTAAGTTTCCCGTTTTTAAAATAGCCCACCTGGGTGCACAGCGATTTCTGGGGAGGGCTCTCCGTTTGGGAAAACGGGAAGTGCGGGCACCAAACACCGCACCCATCGTGAGCGCTGCTGAAGCTCTCGTCTGTCTGCCGAGAGAGGGGACGGACGGCGGCGACACAAAGGCGCGCCGCCCGATGAGAAACAGACACCATTACTGAGAGGCTGCCGGGGGGCCCTGCTCCTGCGAGCCGCCACTTCAGCAAGCTCAGCTCGGAGCACCGAATTGATTCCGGCAAGCGGAGAGCGTCTGTACTGGTGTGATCACTGGCAGTCCCACCCTGGAACGGAACTCCATTTAGAGTCACCTGGTGTCTGCTACAGAGGGGTGGAAATAAGAAACACTGCACAGCAGTTTGATACAGCAGCTCAAGGGCCTGACGTGAATTTTACTGAAGGTGCAGAAAAGCAGCTACATATATAGCTTTGCTCCGTGTCTATCAATGCACTTCACTTAAGGTAAAGAGGAGCTAGCTCAGCACACTTGATCAGGCCCAAACTGCAGTGCAACCGGAGTCTTATTTCAGGCACCCCAGAGAAACCCTCCAGCCCAATCCCGCTCGGTTACCCATCAGGTGATGTTGAAAAGACGCGTCTATGTGTGAAAACAGGTACGCTGCTGCAGGCACACTTGGATCGAGTGCCTGTAGAACGTAGTTGGTGATCTATGATGCTGCTGCTGAAAACTAAGAAGTCCCAACACTGGCGAATGGCGACATGCTGCCAGGCCTGCGTGCCTCTGACCCGGCGGGGTCCGCTGGTCGTGCGCCGCCGTCACCGACTGCGAGCCAGGTCCGGGGAGTGCGTCTCCGTCCCAGTCTTCAGAACAGCTGGACCATCGACTCCCGTGACTGCCCCACTCCGATCCACTTCACTGAGGACAACAGGCCAGAGGAACTGGTTAGCAACAGGGTGGGATGCACACTGTTATGTTTTACACTGACAGATGGCATTGCTACTCCATGCCCCAGCTCAGCTCAATGAGTCAGCCCCGGCGTGGGAGGACTGAAGATCTGCAGAACAGACCACGAGTGTCCTTTCAGCCTGCAAGAAAGTCGAGAACAAGGAAAAACTTTTCATGCCCTGTTTGTTTCTTATCAGTCTTGCTAACAGCAGTTAGGTAAGGGACTCGAAAGCCCAAAGAGGAAGAAAGGGGTAAGAACAGCTTTTTTTAAACCCCTGGCTAAGTGGAACTCATTTCTCTGATAAAGCTAAGGGAAGGCTGTACTTAGTCATTCCTCTGCAGATTTAGGCTGCTGGGTACGTGCATGTCTGTCTGACGCGGTATCTAGCTCCACTCTCCACACACGTCAGACCTGTCACACTGCAAGGAAGAATGACAACGCTGATGATTTCGAATAATGGGCAGACTCTGTGTACCCTGCTGTCACTTGTTAAACTCTAGTGCAAAGGTCACAAAGCCTGTGAACATCAGCCCCCATCATTGCCCTATTTCTTTTCTACAGATTCTGGAACTGCCAATTACTTCGTGCACTCCTTGAATCTGGATTGCCAGACTTGGCCAATCGGTCTCCTCTGACACATGGCACTGTGTCAGCCTGCTGTTGACATGACTCAGGCTGACCTGGAGGCAGCTGGATCGTAGAGCCCGAACTGCGCAGAGCATGTGTCGATTGGCTGAGTGACCTGTGAGCCTGGCCTGACTCTTAAACCTTTTTGTTTTTAAACGGATCTTGCGCTCTCACAAGGCCATTAGTCATAAACTAGGGAAATCTCTTCTCCTAATCAGTACAGGACACAGCTATTCTAGGAAATTCAGACAGCTTTCCCATAATGTGCAGTGCTGGTAAACCACACTTGCCTTGATTTGGCCTCACTGCTACAATAAGACAACTTTAAAGTAAAGGGGTAAAGTATTTAAAAAAACAGATACAAAATACAGAAGGCAAAATCCTATTACTTCCTCCTTGTAGAAAGAAACTTTTTGGTACCGTAATTAACCGTGACTTAAAAAGTAGCCAACAATTTCATACAACATGTAAATGCCATGCAAAGAAAATAAATTGGCAACCTTGTAAGATGATTAAATCGAAAAATGATCAAATCTACAGAGCTGCCCCTGAACCCGATCTCAGGCAGTTTGATGCCTTATGCCATCCTGCCCTAGGACACAACACTGGTGCCCATGACACACTCGTCACAGGGAGCTTTACTCTTTGCCTTCTCTGCCTCATTTGTTTAAATACATTTACCTTCCTATCACAGACCACTGAACCTCTGTGTACACTCCTACAGTTTAAGAACACATTCCTGTTCTGTTACTTTTTTATTGACTGTTCTGTTCATTTACTGCTCTGTTTCTAGCGCCACAAAGGTATGAGCCCCTCAGCCAGGCTGTCACTGTAAATGGGAATACATTCTCTGCTGACTTATCTGGTGAAATCAAGCGTTATTTAAATGAACTGTCTGCACTTGACTTCAGAAATTAAACGGTCACAAAGCAGCTGGCAGTAACTTAAAAGCATGACTTTCCTCAGGAGTTCTAGAGCGATGAGAAAATGCCTTTACAACTAGCGTGTGTGAGAATTGTGGTCAAAGAGAGATCCTGATCCTTCTGGCTCTGTTGTACTGCGTGAGAATGCAGACCCAAAAAAAGAACAGTCAGCAGCCTTAGATCAATGAGCCCCAGTCATTCAGAAAAACGTGTCTCAGCCTATGTGTCTACCACACAAAGCCACGTCTGCTAACAGAGTACTCCTGTCTTCAGCTATGAGGGTCACAGCTTTACAGAACAAACCCAGGAATCGGGCAAGCCGGTGCAGCAACAACTCGGCGAATGCAAAAATTCACAGCTCTGTTGCAAGGCAGTAAATATAGTCAGACTTGGAACAAAGCCCCTCACCAGGCACACTAAGGTGTTTTTCAACGAAGCGCACATATTTTTGCGCATTTTCCGGCAGCTCCTCGAAGGTCCGGGCCCCAGAAATATCGGTGTTCCAGCCGGGAAAAGTCTCGTACTGCACCTCCACTTTCTGCAAGACTTCCTGGTTCGCTGCAGGAACGGGGAAACAGGGGGAAAACGAGTCAGGGCCGGCTCTCTGCGCAACCTTTATTACACCCCAGTTTCTGATGTAAACTTCATGCGCTAAAGGTCTTAGGTGTCATTTTGACTCACCTGGAAAATGAGGTATTAGTTCGTTGTCTACTTTGTAGGCAACACCAACTTTAATCTCCGGAAACACATCCAAGATGTCCAATTTGGTTAGAGCTAAACTGAGAGACAACAGGGAGAGTAGATGATTAATTATTTAAATTGTAATTTCCTTAATTTCAATACTATTTCAGTATTGCATAATTTTACACACTATTATCTCAATAATAGATGTAAGTAGGTTATCAGGAAATAACTGAAATCTTGTGCTTCACAGACCTTCACAGAATAGTAAGATATCTTATCTGCAGCTTCAATTTAAAGTTCTAATGCCTTCTTCTTCTTGTATTAGAACATTGTCATTATTTCTTCTGTTGCCTGACTCGGATTATAAACGCGATAGAGCCCTTCACAGTACGTGAACTGGGGTGAATTTGGGCTCCTCTCTTCCGGACTCACGCAGTGAAGCCGTTGATCATGTGGGCGTATTTCAGCAGCACCAGGTCCAGCCAGCCACACCTCCTCTTGCGCCCTGTGGTGACCCCGACCTCCTTCCCCCGTTTCTGAAGCAGCTCGCCCACTTCCTGCAGGGGAAGAATCACGCAGGCCGTGTTGAGCACATGCTGACCACTATGGCTTTTCAACAGGAAAACACAGCTTCCCTTGTACAGTACTGAGCCTGTGACCCACATCTATGACAGATTCTGCAACTACTGACATTTTTAAAACTTAAAGATCTTTTCAGTATCACTTACAATGTATAATTTGGTTTTACTCTTGGTTACTGTAAGCCAATTTGCTGAACTTGTTTTTTTATTTCGCTTGTGCTGCTGTAGGGTACTTTGAACTACTTGAGGAATACTCAAAACATTATGGCTTTCGATATCTCCAATAGGTTAAAGGGGAACTGCAGTCCCAATTTCTCAGAATGGTTATTAACAAAACAAACTAATGTTACAAAATTAATTAAATGTATTTAAAATTAATTAATAAAATTTAAGGTAACAAAATAAATTAATGGAAGGTATTACTAAATTTTACAAATGCCAAATGAAGCACAAAATTGTGAACTTTATGAAAGTATTGCGTGGTCTCCATCTGGTCTCAAGCCCCTGGTCTCGCCACAGCGAGAGCACGATGTGATGCAGATTCCTGCTCACTAGCCACTGTAATGACTAGTGTACTATGAGGTCGTGCAGCAGATATTTCACCGCAGGAATGTTCCAACAGGAGCTGCATGCAGAGTTAACACGTAGTAGTTTTCAGCAAAACTGTTTTGAAGTCGAGAGCAATTTCTATTGGATTAAAAGATATGTACCCACAAGTCTGGATGTTCACAATGTCATATGGCAGCAACACCTCACTGGAGGTTGTTCTGAATTGCAGAACATGGCACTGCGCATACCTGGAACTTTAATCTGTTTTCTGATGTAAAATGGAGGGTTTTACAAGCTACTGTGTAGATTTTACTGTTATTGTGGTTTGAAATGCACTGATCAATGCTGATTCTTTCTAATCCTGAAATATGAAAATAGCTTTGCTGGTCATTGCGTTAAAGGGGAACTTCAAAGTTAATTGCCCCTTTCGCCACATGGGGGCAGGTTTCCGCCATCCTAACATATCAGCCTGGTGCCTTCTGCAGGAAGCACAGTATATGTCATAGAAAAATACCACAGACATTTCATTACATAAAGAGTTCACATATAGGAGTACACTACTCCCGTACATTTTCCAGTAGAACACACTTACTAAATATTGTATCCTAGCAATGGTAAGGAGGAATAATAACTGCTCATCTTAATACACAGAATATTTGATTACAGCACCGTTTCTCTTATTAAAAGGGATTATTAATAATAAGGGATTATTAAATGTCTTTTAGTCACATATCCCACATTTCTTGTGCAAATCCTTTATGATGTCAAAGAAAATAAACACTTCTAGAAACCTATTTTTTTGCCGAATGACTCGTGCTCAAACTTGGTGCTTATTGAAATGAATTGGCCAAGCCTATAAAAACAATATTTCACAGGAAGCAAGTAAAAAAAGCTAACTGCAATCCATCTGGTTGGAAAGGGGGTAAGGGGCTAATGAACACGCAAAGCAGGCACACAGGACTCTGAAGCACCACTGAAGTCCGGGCAGTAACCTCACATTGTTCTGCTCCGTAGGGAAGGCCCCAATCCCTACTCTGGTGGTGTAGGCCTTCACCACCCCGTAGACATGGCCCACGTTCTGGGGGGGCATCCCCAGGCCCGTGCACACGCCCCCCACCGTGCAGTTGGAGGACGTCACAAAGGGGTAAGTGCCTGGAACGACAAGCGTCGGAAAAAATCATCACGGCGTTTACCACTCAGCACGGCAGCTGCTTGTCCAGCTCTGCAGCACATCTACACAGGCAGCAGCCTCATTCTGCAATCTGTGGTGCTGCTCGTTACCGGGCTGATTAGCGCAGTGCTGTAACAGACTGGATCAATGAGCAGGCCTGGGTCACAGATACAGATTCCTGTGTGTTCCCAGATACTGTAGCTTGTTCTAGAGGCTGGTATTTTTTTTTAACATGCTTTAATAGTTATTTCCCAAAGTGGTCCCTTCTCCACAGTCTCATTAAAGGACGCAGGTTTCAAAGAATAAGTCTAATAAAATGACCACCTGTTTTAGAAATGAAGCCTGTCCATGAGCACCAGACAGATTTCTAAAGATCGCTGAACCTTTCAAAAGATTTATAAACCTCAGATCTTTTGTTATGTTCATGCAACAATGCTGTGCCTCTTCTTTGGTTGTTTTGGTTAAACCCGGATTCCAGCGCTGCTAGTGGAAATTCTCTCATTTCCTGGAGGGAAGCAGTCTAATTTTAATCTTGGACTGCTCGAGTTCTCAGGCTCTGCAGAATATAATTCGTCTTTACTCTCATCGTGACAATACTGCCCTTTTCCCCCAAAGGGTTCAGTCCTCAGATTTGCCAGCGATCGATCACTTCACTCCCCCAGGGCCTGTCGTTTTATATTCCTTCACTGTAAGGGTGGAGACATTGTCTGGGCACGCCCACTGTTCTTTACTTCCACCGTGAAAGCGCTAATTAATTTCTTCTTGTCAGCTTGCTAAGGAAGTTCAAGTAGGGAGCTGCGTCAGCATGCGTAGGCTGCAAAAGAACAAGTAAAGGTTTATTCCCTGCTGAAAAGAAAAGAAACAATGTTTCGGCTGTGGAGCCTGAAGAAGGCTCTTTTCTTTTCAGCCTGGGATAAACCTTCACTTGTTACTTTGCAGCTTGTTAAAAGACCAGATTTGGTCACTACAGAGCCCGAGCGTCTGACTGCTCAGGTTATTGCGATCTGCGCTTTCCTGGTATCTACGCAACCAAGTCATGTCCATGTCTTTCCCATTGTGATGGGATATGTTTTCTGATAAACAACCACACAGGGAAATCACTTGCTCACAGAACTTCAGTGAAGACAACCAAGAAGCATTAGTGTACTAATCCCCTTCATAAATATGGGAGCAAAATGACTTAAAAATGTTACCCAGCAGCAAGTGTTAACAGTTGTCCTTCGAAAAAGCAAGCATGGGTAAGGAGCACTTCAGAAGAGTCATATTGTTTAAACAGAGGAAATGTCCCCCTGTTCCTATAGTTAGATCTGTAGCGTTCAGCTCTATACACCTCAACAAAGATCCTCATCCTTTTATTCTTAATGCGGTTATTCAGTACTCCCTACTTCATGGATAGCACGGATAAGCACTTGGACTCCTCTTACTATGGAGGAGCACTCCGATTAAGGGAGTGAGGGACTTTACCACTTACCGAAGTCTATATCTAGGAGAGCTGCGTTAGCCCCTTCCACCAGGATCTTCTTGGACGGCCCGTGCAGAGCCTGGTACATGAAATACACCCCATCTTGCACCATCGGCTTGATCTTCTCCATGTATATCTGCCAGCCGAACACACAGCACAGTCACAGCCAAACCTCAAGCACGTGTTTACTCCACACTGCACTGGCCAGTTTCACTGGGCTGTTTTGTGGCATGTGAGAATCACCGAGCATTTGTCACCTGATGTCATACCCGTTTACAATTACTCATTCTTCACCTACTAGGTTTACTGGTTACGGCGGCACAGGAGAGACAGGGACAACACGCTTGCATCGCCCGGTCAAGCCATGTGTTTCTTTTTCCGTTGCTCGATTTCTGGTCCAGAACATTCACTTCAATTTCAGATCTCATTTTAAGTGCCCTTCTCCAACAGGCTTTGGAAAGGCCAAAATAAAAACTCAAATAAGTGCAGCAGCAGGCTGGCTTGTTAGAAGGGGTGTATGGGATATAATGACACACTACTTGAATTATCCATTAGATCTCAGTGTGTTTCGTCTTGCACAAAAGAAAGTGGCGATTTACCAATTGCTTGTAACTCAGTGGTGCTGCTCTTGAACACCATTTGACACAACTGAAGCCAAAGCAATGCTTTATCAACTATTTCTTCCTTAGCAGCAGCTACAGTATATCTGTGAGATGCAAACTGTGAAAATGTACAAAGCGACATTAAGACTCATCTCACCAGGACAAAGATCATTAGAACTAAATGCTTTTACTATAAGACACATACACGTGACTATGCAATAATGAGGGTTGCATCTTAACTAACGCCCAGTATAAATATTTCCTCTAAGAAAAGGACTTAAAAATCCCGAATCTCGACTCCCTAGAGGCTCAACCAATAAAGGCGTGTGCCTGAACCCTAACCGACTGGCTGAGTGCCGCTGTGATGCCAGCGAAGAGCAGTCCCAAAGCGTGCGGGTTCGAGGAATCGGTCTACACCTCCTCGCATCCTGTGACATCCCTGTGTGGGGTTCACAGCCGCCAAGGTGTCAAAAACACTGAACTGGCAATTCCACATCAGGTGCGAACATAACAAAAATAATGTGAGTCTAAATAAAAAAAAATCACAAACCTTTTATATCAATTTTAATTTTAAAGTCACTGTAACAACTGAAGAACCCTCAAAAGTCCTCCACTTAATTCGAATCACTATTATTTTATATGATTAATTATATTACTAATCATTCCTATAATTAATTGCATCTGTATAGAGCTTTTCATCCCACAGTGTTTGACATGTAAGAGGGGATCCAGCTCAACTACCACTGGAGTGCTGCCACACCTCAGTGATCAGCAGAGACATTGGACTCAATATGCATGCGTTTTCTTTGTGGACAATAATCCAAAATAAATCTGAGCATGACTATCAATTTAAAAATTCACCCCAACACACATTGCTTCTCCAGCATGCTGCTGTTATTCAGGACATTTTCCATGTGCTAACCTGAACCGCGTCAAACTCACCTTCAATTTTGCTAGCTCTCCATCTATATCAATTTCCAGGGTCGGGTACATTGATTTGTACTGCTGGGCTAAGACTTTAAACCTGCAGGGCAGAAACAACAGTGATAAGTTTTGCTCACAGACAGCATGTTTTCAGTAGGTAAGACAGTTGTGACATAAATGCAGGTGCGTAGTTGCTAACCGTACCACACACTGACATAGGACGTTTTCTTTGAGCAAATCAAGATTTCTTCCAGTCTGGCCTAGCATCTAATTATTTCAACCTGTAAAGATGGTTTGTTATCTCAAGAATTGTATTTTCAGATGGAGAAAATGCATGTCAAAAAATATAAACATTCAATTACCTTATTTTCAAATTCATCTTCTCATGACGTATGTTTTTCTAACTACCTGCACATTCTTTTTGCTTCTGTTTAGTGCTACACCAGATGAATGTCATTTACACCAGCAGGGCTCCTTCCTCAAGGAAGGTGATCCTGATTGCCAAAGTTTTCTGTTCTACCACAAGCATGGTGAGTTTTGGGCTGCTGTGGTAAAGGTGCTCTTTCTCCCAGTGCAAGCTGGGCTCCATGATCCAGACGTCACTGGTTCAAGCCTAGGTCACATCAGTAGCTGCCTGCGACTGGGATTGCTAGCTGCACTAGCTGCCTGTGACTGGAATATCCCTAGAGCCAGCTGGTTCCCAGTAACATCAGTAAGGGGCACACCTCTCCTTAAGTCAGGGCTGGTCCTCACTGGGTCCATCCTTGCTTAACTAGGACCCCCAGTGAGATTACCTTTCAGAGAAGTCCCCAAAGTCAGACAACAGGTCGCATATCCTCAGGCCACTGCGAGCAGCTTTGGCGGAGTACACAGGCCCAATGCCCTTTTTCGTTGTTCCCAAGCTGGGAAGGGAAAAAGAATAACACTTTGTTAACAACACATATGAAAAGCGGGACACTCCAGCCCTCTGCTGTTCTCCATCACCGTCACAGAACTTGTGGTTGCATTTGTTTTCTTCTTTCATAGGATGAGTGTTTGATCTCTTTTGCACTCAGTATATGTTGCATATTGATGGATAATTCATGTAGCAGAACAGATGTGTTCAAATGCCAGTCAAGTGTTGGCTATAGGTTACTATGAGAAACTGGTAACAGAAACTCACATGGTTAGAAATCAGTTAAATTTAGTAGACTGGTATCATATTGTTCAGCAAATAAATTAAAGCCACAAATTCTGCATTTAAAAGTTTAAGACACTTTTTCTATTTTTCATGTCTCTGAAATCACAATGTAAACTGAAAACCAGGGAGAGGACGTTCAGCTGGCAAGTTATCAGTATGGCTTCCTTTTAACCGATACCTGTCTGCTCCAACTAACCAGTTTAAACGGATTTATGTTGTTGGCTTTTGATAACACTTTGCTTCTCAGTGGTCAATTTGTTTGCAGACTAAATTTCATGACATCAGCAAGCACCCCTTCACAAGCAGCGTAGTGGGACTGTTTAACGTGTTTCTTTCAGATTGTCTTAAATAATAATTTCTTCTTGGATCATATTATTCATTTACACTTGAGACCAAAGCATAGGCTTTTAAGCAGCACTAGCAGGGCTCTGGTCTCTTCATAAAAGGAAAAACCTCGCCTCCTTCCTGCATGTTCTCTCTCTCCGAGCAGTGTGCAGAGTTCAGAACGACCTGCTCGCTGTTGTTCTACTGCCCAGGAAGTGTGGAACAGAAACAGTAAGTGTGTTAGGGGAGCTGGAAGGGACTCACTTCTTCCCTGCTTGCAGCTGTCTCTGCTGCTCCTGGACACCATCAACTGCCTGGTGGAAATCAAACACTGTGGGTAGAAACGGACAAGATCAAGTCAGCCAAGAGCCACCGGGTTCCCAACCTGCACGAGAGTGAAGCCCAGCAAGGCTCTGTCTTGTCGGGCCCTGGGCTCGGTGCAACACTGGAATGACAATTCTTCACACAGCCCTGGCCTTTCTTACAGATCTCCTAGATCAAGACATCTTTCAAAACACGTTTTTATCTGTAAATAAATGATGACTACAAAAGGTTTCTTAGCTTCTGAAGTCTTTTAAGATATATATTTGGGAGGACACGATATATTACAACTGAACGCACTGGAGTGAGGTTCTGAATGTTTATTACGAAGGAGGGGGAGATATCTGCCCTCCCAGGACAGCAGTAGCTTCAGGGTAGCTCACACTGGACTGACGGGGTCCTCTCCTTCCTTTTAAATCACATCTTTTTGTCATATACTGTCAAGCTGCTTTTCCCCATGTTTGGTGGGGCACGCTCACAGCAAAGGAATTAAACTAAATCTCACCTGCTTCACAACTCTGTGGAAAATGTTATTCATAGGACAGCAGCAATGGTTCACAGGTGATAAGATTATTGAAAATTGAAAAACCCAAATTTCTTTGCCAGTTTTATCTATAAAACACTCAAGGAAGCCATGGCCACATTCCTTCTAGGAACAGGAATATAATAATATTCTAAATAAGACGAATCTATTAACCGTAATAAAATTCTGTGGTTTAAATTACTGTTGACACCTAAGTTATTAGAGGGGGTTGATATTGTTTGAAAACTCACAAAATAAACAGTTGTAACTGTCTTAATCAATGCTTGCTGCAGTTGTTTTTGTTTGGTTGATAATGACTGCTCTGTGTAACAGCCCCATTTTAGCAGAAGAATTGTTATCTTGCAGTCTACTGCCCTACATATTCTTATCAAACTGGGTTTGCTGTGGTATACACTGAAAGCTATGCCATTTAATTACACTGACGTCCCCTTACATGAGGGATAAATACAGAAAATTTTTATTATAATTTTGTACCATCTCTTAAAGGAGAAACATATTTGTAGAATACCACTCAATTTAGAGAAGGCTTTCCATTCTTTCACAACTCTTATGTTGTGAACTATAGATCTATAGAACTATAGATCATTTCTGGCGATTTGCCCACACTTACCGATATGAGCTCTGTCAGAGATGATAAGTCTCTTCTCCCAGCCTTCCAGACCTACAGAGAGGGAACAAAACATCTCTGTGACACAGCAGACTGCAACTCCCACCCCTCCAATTAACTAATGAAGAGCTTCAGAACGAACCAGTTCTTTTATTGTGAGGCTGACTAAGGTTGCACAGCTTCAGCATCACACTCCCCAAGCTTTCAGACACTCAAATAATAATGTATGATGTAAATGCTAGCTAAACAACAGAGCCAGACCAGACTATCACACGTGTGAACCCGTGTTCTTACCAGAGTGGTCCAGTGCCTCAATCTGACCACTGCAACAAACTGAGGAGAGAACGCTTATGAAGGATGAACTTACTAAAGCTAAGATACGCCCCTTAACACTTTCAAGCATTGAAAGATTAAAGTGCCAATTTTAAATTATTCCCCCTCTGCTGCAATACCGGCTGTCCTGTTTGAATGCCGCAGTGACAGCCCAGTTCTGAAAGTCCTCCATTGTCCACTATCAAAACACAGAGCTCATTCATGGACAAACCTTTTCGAAGGTCATCAGGAACCAACTCACCTTTTCCCTTTCGGGCATTTTTTTCTGCCTCTTCGAAGAGACCAGGCAAGTGAATCACCACTCCATTGCCTAGGATCAGAAAGGAACAAGAAAACTGGAGCAGTTCTTTTTGGGAGAGTAAACCAAACACCTAGGTAATCCTGTATAAACCTGATGTTTTAGAGGTCCAACTCTGTTTGGCTGCTGGAATACTGAGATTACAGTTGTAAACTTCAAGACCCTGACTGATGAAGGGTTTCTTACAAACAAGGTCACATTTTCGCTTTAATTCTGAAATGCATCCAAGCACTAAGTTGAAAATGTCACGAAGCTAAAATAAATCTTCCTCCCATTGTGGTAGAACCTCTTAATAATTAAAGCATTTAAAATTTGGTTCGATGATTTGTAATTCTCTCTGTTATAGCAACCTAGAGTGCACTTTCTTGTTTAAACAGCACCACAGACACAGCCCTGAACTAATGGGACACAGAGGCATACCGGGGACTGTAAATATTCAATTTCCCTTAAGCTACTCCCAATCTAATGACTCACAGGAGCACTGCTTTACAATCGGCTTTAAAGGAAAAGGGTAAATTCTACAAGGCATTAAATAAGAGTGTGTAAGGATTTATTTTGAAAAAAAAATTCCAAGCCCTGCAAAACATTTCTTCACTCCGAACGTGTGAGCAACCAAGATTTGCCATGTGATCTCTACTTTGTAAGACATAATAATTACTTATCAAAAGTCCTTCAACTTGTGTGCAAATGTATTTCTACTGATGCACGACTGCTGGACGAGTAGCCAGACTCACTAAGGGTACAGCAGCACGGTTAATAACTCCCTGTTTATAAGGAAATGCAAGACCACGGGCATTTGTTTCACTTTATGCACGCAGACCTATAAATGTAATGCAACCCAACTGAATTAATGAAGTTTCTATTAGGAGTTGGTTATTAACTGAAAATAACAGCTGGTACAACAACTTCAAAGTGTGCAAAAACAAAGTTAGCTACTAGTGCGTCCTGTAAGACTAAAGCAAGATAAAAACACAGTCCTGCATCAGGTATGGCCATGGGCAGGCCCCGCTGCTCCAGCGGTGTCCGGGGCTGGAGTGGGCGCGGCGCCCGGGCGGCCTGCAGGGCTGCTCACCGATGAAGCCGGTCACGTTGGGGTTGATGATGCCGCTGGGAAGCAGGTGGAAGTCGTACTCCACAGAGTCCACCACCACCGTGTGCCCGGCGTTGTTCCCTCCCTGCGCACACAAAGACGAGGACAGTGAGGCTGGGCCCAGTGGGCATCCTAGTGGACCACCCAATAGACAAGCAACAACATCAGAAGGGCTCTAAAAACTGTTGAGCCTGGACCAATAAACTAAGATGACTTGAATTAGGTGGCTTAAAGGTCAAACTGAATGAGAATCTTCTGCCACCATGGCCCTTGAGAACTAGAGTTGTGTATAAATGTTTCAGCTACACAAAGAGCATGCACATCTACAAGCACACAAAAACAGCTCACATCACTATAGAACACAACAGCACCTAGAAGGGCATACGTCTACAGATACAAGAAAATGCATTTAACTTCTGAGCGATTTCTAAATCAGTTGTGCATCCTTCATAAGATAGCACAAAACAGTCTCAGAAAACACTTCTATCAAGTCTTCATGTAACTACAACTATGCTACAACTATGTTCCAGGGTCTTCTGTACTGCATGACAGAGATACAGAGCATAGTGCAAGTTAAATCTGGCAGAACCACATATTAATCAGTATCAAAGATTAGTGGCAATTCTAACACGTCTGCAGATAATGCTTCTAATTCTTCTGCGTACATCACATTGTGTTTTCAGAATCGCAGCCAGCACAAGTCAACCTTGTTAATGGCACCGACCGAATGCATAATGAAAAGTAAGAATAGCGCGTTCTGACCACCGCCTGCGTCATAAATCAATAGGGGATGCTGTATGTGCTCTGCCTGAGGGAGGGCTATTTCTGCACACTCACATTCCCAGGCCAAGTATAGAGGTGCATAGATGCCTCTCCTTTTTTGCTGCACTTCCAATGTCTGCAACCCAGAGCTGAAATTTAATTACATAACACTCCAATGTTGCTCAAGGGGGTCCAATGTCACAGACTTGCTTTTCACTCAGTGGAAGTGAATTGGAAAAGCCATCAGAGGCGAGCTGTGAATTTTAATCGCAGCACGAGCTGCAAACACTTCAGCTGGCAGTGGAAACGAGACTCCCACTGCACAGCACTGGGAGCCATCTGAGGTTTCACCAGCGGCAGGGTCTTGTAAAGATCACACCGAGGAATCAGAAATGTGCCGCCATGATGAAATATCTGAGTTTAATGTGCCTAACATTGCAACTTTACTCAATAAAAGCCACCAAGATCAAATAAGCAGACACTACAGCAGGGATGAGCAACCCTGGTATTGGAGGGACAGTGTTATCTGCAGGTTTTCATTCCAGCATGACTCTTGATGAGCTAGTTAAGCCGGTTACTTGATTAAATGGACCAGTAATTGAATTAACTAGATCAGGTTTAACAGCTTCTCGCAGCTCATCGGGTGCTGCTGCTTTAGAGAGACCTTGAACACCTGCAGACACAGGGCCCCCCTCCAGGACCAGGCTTAGACACCACTGCACTACGGGTTACAGACAAGTGACTCAAAGACCGAAGGGCCCAAACTGCTAGAACAGCAGCAGACTGAATTTCACCTCTGATCTGATTCACACTGGGCTGCTCCAGGGGCACCGTATAAATGGCTGACCCTGCGCACTGACCCCAAGCCTCTCTCTCCCTGGCTGTGTGCCTGTGTGTCTCATAGAGAGCAAGCTGGGATATGCGAAAAGATAAATTCCTAATGCAAGAATTTGTATATGGCTAAAAAAAATGTGATCTTATCTTAAGTGATCATTTAGACTACAAAAGCAGGAGGGTTTTTGCTCTGCTATCACAAAACACTCCAGAAGAAGCTCTTTTATACAGAAGAATGAAAGGAATTGATGGTTTAACGTGCTGTGAAAGTGTGCATGAACTTAACAGGTTAATGACATAAAATCCTGCGGCTTATCAACCTTGATAAACATACTGGGGGACATTGAATCACCATCTTCACATCTTCTCATTTAAAAAGACGTTTCTATTTATTTCGAGGATCGAAGGTGTGAAAGCCTGAAGGGAGGCTTGTGGGAAACAAGGGAACTGTGTTCAGAGGAGAAACAGAGCAGGGAGGAGCCAGCAGCAACACAGTGCCCATCGAGAAAGAGGAAGAGATATGGTGATGTCAGGGAAATGTGGTTTCTGAGAAGTAGGCTATCTGTGAAGCTCCTGTTACTATGCTTAGAAAATGTACATAATGATTGTTTTCGTGTGCCCAGCAATGCACTGTATCAGTAGTTTTCCCTAGACACAAAAGGCAGTAAAACGCCAGACCTGAGTGCTAAGAAAACATGGAGAAATACCCAGGACAATACGGACTGCTGGGAGCCTCAAAAGCTCAAAGGTTTGTTTCAGCTTGGCTGGTGTTGCGGAATGAAACAAACATAGCGGTTAAATGTAAGGTCATCAACTTCTTGATACGCTCCCCAAGAGCTACAGGAGATGGGACGCCAAGGATTAACTCCAGTTTGCTAAAATACTGGTACAAAATTCTGCAAGGACAATTTCGGATATCCAGTTGCAGCTGGATGCTCTCTGAGCCCACTGGGAAGCTAGGCAGGGCAAAGTAAATTCCTAAGACAAGACAGAAACATTGTCACTGAAGGAACATGTGTTAGAATGGGCTGGGTAAGGCCAGTGTGAGTGTATAGTAAATACTAGCAATTTCCAAAGAAACAGTGGAACTGGTTGAGGTACTGCCCATCTTGTCTGATCATCTAAACTGCCTCCACTTTGCTCAAAAAAGGAACTACACAACCCTGCACTAAACTACATAACTTTCACATACGTTAACAGATTCAGTGTAACCTAGCATCTGCACAGGTGAAATGCCATCATCTGGTAAAATGTGTTAGCAGAGGAAAATGATATATTTGATTAAACAACATGAGATAACCCCTTTGGGGTGAGAAGTGCTATTCAAATGCAATCAACAGTTATTTCTTAACTCCTGACCTGGAAAAACGAACAGAAAAAAGTGCCATGTGATCACAGCTGCTCCACCTGACCTCGCAGGACCCTGACCTCTGTCCCCCCCACATCCTGAGGGCCTGCAGGTCATGGTGGACTCTGCGGACCCACAGGAGCCGTCAATCAGGAGGTGAGGTGGCTGACAGCTGCGACAAGGACCTGACAAACGACTCGCAGATCACTGCTCATTTTTTTCCTTCGCCCCTTTCAAAAACAGAGGAGGGAAACAGAAACTAAAAGAGGCTGTTGATGGGGAAAGACAAGGCTCCTGGGGACCACAGTCCCTTGGTTGAAAAGAGAAAAGGAGTCAGATTGCAGACACCACTACAGACGCAGGTAACCTTTGGATTTTGGACAGTTTTCTCATAAATCAGCCAGGACAGGTGCCTGCCTGCCATCCTGAGATGGGTTTTTAATTGCCATCTCCCCAGGACAGAGCCAGAGAGTGGCGGCAGCTGTGCATTCCCGTTTGAATCTGTCAGATCCGGCCCAGAGCCCCACTGACAGGTGTGAACTGACGCCGTCTGCTCTTCCGTCACAGCTCGTGGAAAAACGTCATCCTGCTGCCAGCTCCCCCACCCCTCGCCCTGCCAAGCCTAGATGCAGTCACAGTGACTGGTTTGCACGCTGCTCCTCCACAGAACTGGTAAAATCCCCCTTCATCCGCTATTCGATTTGCGGAACACAGGCAGGTGCTCCAAATCCCAGCAGGATCGTGGAAACTAATGAGACTCCTGCTGTGAAGCAATGGCATCCGTCTCGCGTGATGAGCGCTGCCGGCCCTTCCTGGAGCACCTGGAGAACGCCGGCATTCCTCCAGCCAAACCTCTCGGAGGCACGCGCCATCAAGAGGAAGACCACCCAGCACAGGAGTGAGGAGATGGCTCACCCAGCTCAGTACTTCCGCACTCCTATTCGCCCCCAACGCAGGAGGCAGGGGGCCTCCGTGTAAGATCACTGACCAAATCCTCACTCCTGGTCTCAGCTGGGGGCCCAGCCGGCTGGCTGGTGTCGGTTTGCCTCATGGGAACACCCGACCCCTCTTCAGAAACGCCCATTTAAGGCGCTCGAGGCTGAGCCGACTCTTCAGGGGCCCGGGTGTCGAATAATACCTCCTCCACAGACCCATGTGCTCGTGCAGAGAGCAAAGGACTGGGATCAGCTTGGAGCTCACAGGCACCGTTTCTACTGGACAGAGAATCCTCTGCTGTCTTGACCTCTGCAGTGTCATGAAGGACGTTTCCAAGAACACTAACATTCACCGAGCATGGTTTATTTCTCCCCCGAAAAATACAGGTCATGTCTTCGTACAAACTTGAAAATCCCCAGCCGATTCAGTAAGTCGAGGACAGAACTTAAATTCTCTTACGTCAGACAGCTATGCATTTCCTCATTATGGGCTGGAGCCTGTCATTTTTTAAGGAACAAGTAATAGGTTTATTCAAGGCTGAAAAGAGAAAGAAAACACGTTTCGGCTGTGAAGCCTTCTTCAGGTGTGAGAAAGACAGGGCAGACAGCAGAGATTAAATAGCACAGAAGGATAAAAGCTGGGAGAGAGGAGGAGGCAGGAGGGGCAGAGAGGTCACTCAGGAAGTGCAAAGTGCAGATGGGTGAAGAAAGGTCTGAAGTCAAAACCTGCATGAGAATAGAGATGATCACACAAAAACAAGTTGGTCATTGAGAGAAGGGGGATGGTGTGAACCTAGTTTCAGGATGAGTTTCGTTTCTGTTGTCTTTCTGCTGTGGGAGTTGAGAAACCCTTCTTTGGGGACAGAGATAGAGAGACCGGTGTGATCATGGCCGTCAGAGGTGAAATGAGAAACTATGGGCTTGGAGAAATCTTTCATCTTCACAGCCCTAACATGTTCTCTGAAGAGGTCTCCTTCCGGTTTCCCCAACGTAGATAGCTGCTACGCATGCTGATGCAGGTTCCCATCTGAACGATGTCATTTTTTAGACATCTATCAAGTCTGCAAAAAAACTGCCTCAACGCTGCAGGAGCGTGAGCTGCTTCTCAAGCTGAGCGATAAGGATGATAAATTGCAAAGGCAAAATGGGCCATGAAAACAAACTGATACGTATATTAAGGTGGCAATACGTATTTATGATACAATCTGTGTGTGAGGGTTGATTTAAAAGCTTCCACGGTTGAGTCTAAACTGAGTCGAACTGCGGCAGAGACGCACGAAAAAGGGCTTTTTATTTCCCCACGCCAAGATCAGGCTCACACAGCTGAGCGAAAGGCTCTTTAAGCGTAGACAGGGCATTCATCCACTCAGATCAGAAAGGTAGGAACAAGGCCTTCACAATTTGCTTTCCATCACCAGATTTATGAGGATCGACCTGCTCCTGGCTGAAAGCGCATTAGCGTGGATTGTGAAGCGCAGGGCTCTCCGGCCCTCCCTCCAGGGGGCTGCCGCATGTAAACACGCCGGCGAGCCGGAATGCGATCTCGGCGGGCGCTCGGCCGCACAGCGCCGCGGCGGAGGGCACCGGTACAGGTCTATTTTTACCGCGGCGTTACAGGGCTCTGAACCAGATCTACACACGAGACAAAATCTCTACACGTCCAACTGCTTTCAACACTTCCTGCAGTGAAGAGACGGGGAAAGAACTCCAGCTCGGTCTCTCCTTAACACTGCAGTATCCAGCTCAGACTGGGAGTGGAAGACACCTGCTACACACAGGAGAGGAGCATACATAGACATCTCTGGCTATTAGTACGGACCAAGGGCCTCAGGACCTTCTTATTTACCTAACCTTTTAAAATCCAAATGAGCAAATAATTGTTCTTCTTTTCACTCTCATCCAGTGTCGAGTTAGCAATTCTTCATAAACTCTGCCCCGTAAAGCACCTCGATCTCTCAGGCAGCACTGCCCTGGTCCCAGTCCAGATCTCTACCAGCGATCTCTGGACAACCAGGCCAAGTCTGCTTGGACTGAACTCCCTTACCAATTACTGCCATGAAGAGCCTGCCCTGAACAAAAACACACCGCCGAAATGAGTTTAAAAGCCCTCATCCACAGCAAACACGCAAAAGGGATAAATGGTGCAGAATATTCACACAGGAAATAAGAAGAGTGCTCTACAGGGACTACAGGAGTCCTTGTAGGTGTGCTCATAATCAGCTGCTCCCTGTGCTTGAAAGTTGATCCGATAGGGCTTGCTGCAAAATGTACGTCACATCAACTGACTTTCGTCACTCTTGTCCCAGGTTCTGTAGAGCAGTCAGCATGGTTTACCCAAAATGCGAAATCTTGAATCAATTCTTCTCTCTGTCTCCTTGTGTTGCAGATCAATGAAATCCATTCCAGCCATCAAGACTTTTTACTAGTGGTGTAACTCTTAAAAGTGTTGTCGTATTCCCTTAGCCCTGTAAATACAGTATTCGAGCAGAAGTGGGGTATAGGTAGGTGTACTGTATTGGAGGTGGATGACTGATGTGGAGGTGCAGAGACCACGTTTTGGTCACAAGATACAGAATTCTGACCATGTCTTCATAAAAACCTTCACATCATGAACTCCAGGTAGACTCTGGTATGAACAGACTACTGTGATGACAAAATTAAAACAATTTTTGCAACGGAAACAGTCTATGGAGCATGCCCATGTGTCTTTGTTATATATACACTGTAAAGGTATTGTTAGTCTCTGAAAGCCTTGTGTAATTAATGAGTCAGGAGGCATGATAGGTGGGATAGAGAAGAAAGCTTCAGAGGTTTTAAAAATAGGTAAGTCGTTAATATTTTATACAAATATTTGCTCCTGAGGCTCCTTCCATAAAAAGGAAAACCTAATTTGGGATACAGTAAATGCGTACTGTTAAAGTAGCCTCTTCTGATCTACATATCACTCAGTTCATTCGTGCCAACTTTCAGAAGGTGTCCCAGTAAGACATCGTCAAAACGACCTACGTGTGAGGAGGCGCGGTAGTTAACATTTCTGCCTCACAGCTGCAGGGTCCTGGGATCGATTCCAGCTTGGGAGGTGCATCTG